GCCAGCCCAGCGCTCGGGGGTAAGCGCTGCTGCCCGTCTGGGGGGAGGCGGCAGGGCTGAGGGGAAGAGGGGAGCTGGCGGGTGAGGGGCGGGAAGGCCCGGCCAGGGCGGGAAAAGGCGGCTCCCACCTCCCCTGGCCAGCGCACCTGGCAGCCGAGCGGGCAGCTAACAGCCCCCCAGCTTTGTGTAGATACCCATGAAAATGCCTGCCGCTACACTGCCAGAGAAGGCCAGCGGGTGGTTGTGTGTCGGGTGACTTATGTCAGCACGCTGCCCTAGGGATGCCTTTTTGCTTCTTTTTGCTTCTCGGCACCACAGCGTTGCACGTCTTGTGGGAACGCTCCTCGGTAAACCGTCTCCTCAGGATCCCAGGCGGTCAGGCAGAATTTCAAGGGGACTATTTTAATTTCTTTCCCCCCAGTCTGCTAAGGCAGGGAGAGTGCAAACAGACCCCAAAGAAAGGTGCATCTGTCTCACAACACAGAGCTATGCTGGCACCACACAAAAAGAAGGAATGCTTTCCAGAAGAGTTTTCTTACATGTTAAGAACTGACTAATAAACAAACCTGGAAGGTGGTGATTCAGTGACATATTTAATTAGATGTAATCACCCTGTAAACTTTAAGGAGTTTTCTAACAGAATCAAACACTAATATACTTCAGTACTAATAATATAACTCTGTCCCAGTTAGTTAAATAAATTCTCACGAGGAAATATGCTAAGGAAAGGTGAGCTGCAGACTGATTAAATTACTTCATCCACAAGGCAGATGCAGTCACCAGAAGAGTAAAATGAACTCGTGTCACTCCAGTTCTGATCAGTGCTGCTCTAAGATGAAGATCCCCACTACACTACATCCTTGCAACTTCATCCTACTGGCTATCACTTATCTGTGATAACTCACCGGACAAATACCTGTTTAGCAGATAATGACAGTGGTGTTTTTGCTAAAACAAAAATATTCCAAAAGACACCAGGAAAGCCAAGGTGCTGGAGGCTATCTGTATTTACAGTTATGACATTTCCTTCCCTTATGTTTGTCATCTCTTTCTGTGTACTAGGTATCGTTTAGCCCCTGAACACAAATACCCTGCTGCGTATGAAGACTGTCTTAACACTACCATACACTTTATGAAGAATATTGAGCACTATGGTGTGGACCCTGCCCGTATCATTATCTGTGGGGACAGTGTCAGGGGCAATCTAGCAGCTGCTGTTAGCCAGACCCTTGCAGGTAGATCAGACCTCCCCAGACTACGTGCTCAGATCTTGATCTACCCAGGCCTTCAGGCACTGGACTTCAATTTACCATCCTATCAGCAGAATCAGGGAGTCCCTCTCTTATTTTGAAAACGTGTCACTTTCTACATGTTACAGGACCTAAACAGGCATGCATTGCCTATGCAAGAGGTCTTGGAGGGCTCTCATATTCCTCCAGATATGAGGCTGAAGTACAGGAAGTGGGTGAGTCCAGATAACATCCCCGAAGAATTTAAGGTCAGAGGCTACAAACCACACAAGCCCCATGAATTCAAGGCTAAAGTTTTTGAGAAAGTTAAAAGAATCTGTGAGCCCAACCAGTGTCCACTGTTAGCTGAAGATGCCCTTATTCACCAGCTGCCCGAGTCTTTCATCTTGACTTGCGAGTATGATGTGCTACGAGATGACAGCTTGCTTTACAAGAAGAGACTGGAGGACAACAGAGTTCGAATGACCTGGTACCACCTCAAGGATGGATTCCATGGAATCACAAGTCTATATGATGATTGTGGTTTGTCGTTTCCAGCTGGGGGAAGGGGATTAGATATAATTGTTAAATTCATAAATGGCCTGTAAAAAGAAGAACTATCCCTCTTTATGCTTCTTCCACTATTGTCTCTGTTTAGGCTCCCAAACCGCAGGTAGTACTTGTCAGCAAAAACGTGATACCCTTTGATGTGTAAAATACCAGTTTTGATATTCCTGAACTTCAAATGCTGTCTGAACACCCGTCTTTGTCCTTGTAAGACTATTGGCAGTTCAGTCTTTACAGTTTTAATATTTTCCACATGCTGTGTTTCAATCCCTTTTCTTTCCAATCAGCATCTGATTTATTCCTTGTATTTAATTACCAGATGATTTACTTCTTTGTAAATAATGTCTGTGGAATGATTTGGATTAAATAACTCCTGTGAATTACAGTCAGGATCTTTGTGACATCCATTTGATAAGCTCCAAAGCATGACTTCATTTTATTTAGCTAAAAAGTACGAGTTAGGTACATAGTGAGCTGGAGGGAAGAGTTAGAGGAAAACTCTGAAAAAACTGGCAGAGATCAAGGTCTCAGTGAGGAGATTCAACATATATTCAGTGCGCACGGCAGAACCACATCTGGAAGAGCAGCAGTACGAGGCCTGAGTTAATTGGGGACACCTTGCTGGAGGCAGGTAAGTGCTGCCCTGATTTTGAAATAACCGTAGCTCTACAAACTACTATGTAATTTTGGCGCATCTCCATTACACCCACTGAAGCTCAGGGCAAGAGATACTGGTTGAAAGGGAACACGTCAGGTTTTAGAAAAGACAGGCAATGGCCTCAAGTTGCATCAGAGGAGGTTTAGATTAGATATCAGGAAAAATTTCTTTACTGACAGAGCAGTCAGACATTGGAACAGGCTGCCCAAGGAAGTGGCTGAGTCACCATCCCTGCAGGTGTTCAAAGAAACGTGTAGATGTGGCACTTCGGGACATGGTTTAGCAGGCATGGGGGTGTTGGGGTGACTGCTGGACTTGATGATCTTAGAGGTCTTTTACAACTTACGTTTCTGTGATTCTGTGACCAGTGAACTGGGACGTTGATCTATGTATACTAGAAGGTTTAGCTTAACGAAAGAGAAAATGTGAACCAAAATGTTTTCATGATGTTTCACAGAGTGGTTCCCCAGTATTATTTTTTTAGAATTTGTGCTGTGCTGTTTCTCCATGTTTTGAGTTTTCTTTACAGGACAAGGCAGTGTATTCCTTGACATGATGCTTCATTATACTCTGTTGAGGAAAGCAAGGAAAAACAGTAGTGAGCATACTCAGAACAGTAAGACTTGAGGAAACGGAAATCCTAAGGGAAAGAAAAACCTCAAGACTGAGGAAATCAGAAATTTTCTCAAAAACAAATGCTGGCTTCCACTTAGATTTCAGAGTGCAGAGGCAGCGCTTCCTTCAGCTTCCCGCAGGCGGCCGTTAGACAAAGAACCCCTAAATGCAAAGACAAACGACATCCTCCCGAGGGTTCGAAGACCAACCCGACAGGAACCCGGGTGCCCCGCGACCCCCTGCTGTCCCGGCTCTGTCGCAGCGGCGGC